TTTGATAATAAATAAATGCCTTATGTTCATTCTTTTCAACTCCAATTCATTAAGATAACAATATCCAACATTACATGTTCCTTTAGCGTCACCCATCTCTGCAGATTTTTGATAATAAATGAATGCTTGATATTCATCTTTTTTAACTCCAATTCCATTTCGATAACAATATCCAACTTGAAACATTCCATCAGAATCACCCATTTCTGCTGATTTTTGATAATAAATGAAGGCCTGATGTTCATCTTTTTCAACTCCAAATCCATTTTGATAACAATATCCAACATTATATGTTCCACTAGCATTCCCCATTTTTGCAGATTTTTGAACGCCTGATGTTCATCTTTTTCAATTCCAATTCCATTTTGATAACAGTATCCAACATTATATGTTCCACTAGCATTTCCCATTTCTGCAGATTTTTGATAATAAATAAATGCCTTATGTTCATCCTTTTCAACTCCAATTCCATTAAGACAACAATATCCAACATTACATGTTCCTTTAACGTCACCCATATCTGCAGATTTTTGATAATAAATGAATGCTTTATGTTCATCCTTTTCGACTCCAATTCCATTATGATAACAATATCCAACATTATATGATCCACTAGCGTTCCTCATCTCTGCAGATTTTTGATAATAAATGAATGCTTTATGTTCATTCTTTTCAATTCCATATTCATAACAATATCCAAGATTGTTCATGCCACTAGCGTTTCCCATATTGGCAGATTTTTGATAATAAACGAATGCTTCATATTTATTTTTTTCAACTCCAATTCCTTCGTCATAATAATAACCAACTTTAAATGCACCGTTAGCTTGTCCCATTTCAGCTGATTTTTGATAATATATAAATGCCTTATATTTATCATTTACACCCCGATTCCTTCTTCATAAAAATAGCCAACTTTAAATATTCCATTAACATCTCCGATTTCAGCAGCTTTTTGATAATAAATGAATGCCTTATATTCATCCTTTTGAATTCCAATTCCATTTTCATAACAATGGCCAACAACGTAAGTTCCTTTAGTATTTCCCATATCAGCGGATTTTTGATAATAAATAAATGCCTTATGTTCATCCTTTTCAACTCCAATTCCATATGCATAACAATATCCGACATTATATGTTCCATTAGTATGTCCCATCTCGGAAGATTTTTGGTAATAAATGAATGCTTTATGGTTATCTCTTTCAACGCCTATTCCGTGGCTATAACAATAACCAATATTATATATTCCTTTAGCATGCTCCATCTCAGCAGGTTTTTGACAATAAATGAACGCTTTGTGTTCATCATTATCAATCCCAATTCCATTAATATAAAAATAGTCAATCAGAGACATTTCATCAGAATCTCCTATTTCGGAAATTTTTTGATAATAAATGAATGCCTTTTGTTTATATTTTTCTACATCAATTCCGTCTCGAATCATTTCATCTGATTCTTGAAAATAAACGAATATCTTATATCCATCCCTTTCAATTCCAACTCCATTTTGATAGCAATATTTATGACTGTTCGTTCTATTTGTGTTTTCTAACTCATAAACTTCCATTTTAACTTCATTTTCGTTTTGATAACAATATTCAAGACTGCTCGTTCTACTTGTGTTTTCTAACTCATCTATTTCCATTTTGATAACAGTATTCAAGGCCGTTCATTTCACTAGCATCATCTATATTAACAGACTTTTGATGATTTATGAATTCTTTATAATTCATCTGATTTGTGCGAAAAAAATAAATTTAGGTTGTTTCTATAATTGGATATGATAAATTAATTAAACATATTCGAATATTATCGTTATATCATTAATTACTTATGCATACTACCACGTTAAGGAAGATGAGCATACGAGACAGATATTTAACGATGAGATGTGTATTTTATACATAGTACTGTAGTATGTATACATATTTGAGGTCGATGTTGATCACATTAATTCTAGAATTTTCTATGTGTGATCTATAGTTGTACATTGTTGCATAAATTTGTTCTAGAATTTCTTGCCGAAATTACGATATTTTCTGTATGGAAGTGTTATTATTATTATTATTATGTAAATCCAATTTAACCGATATTCTAGATATTCTAAATCGAATGGCAACCAATCAGAATATCATCAATTTGTGCTTTTCGGAGTAGATTCTACGGACAATTATTACGGATAGTAATTCACATAATATAATTCTAAAATCCACAAACCTTAATGCTAACCCTAAATATATGCGCAATTCATACTGTCCCCGTAGAATATCCGCTTTGCGAATTACTCAAGCATGTTACCTTGTTTGTTCGAATAAAGTCAAAATCTTGAAACTGAAATTTCGTGTAATACAAACATTAATCACGCTTTTCTCGAGTGATTACTAGATTCCGTTACTATATTCGGATTTATAATTTTATGCCCAGAGCAATTGGGTATTAGCAAAAGAGGTTTACACTTATACATACTGTACTGTACGTTGATTCGATCACGCACATACTTTTAAATTCTGTTTTTGAAATATAGCATGGTTCTTATGTGTTTTAATAATATCACTGTCTAAATAAAATATTTTTTATAATTGGTGTTGTATGATTAAAATACTATATAGTAACGAAATTATTAATATAATTCCAATATTTTATTATTTAACAAACTATTACCTAAATCTTTATACAAAAAGGTTTGCCAATAAATTCTTATATATCATATTATTTTTTTTAGACGCAAATGACTTATTATTATAATCAAGAAGCAAGAGCAAGATTTCTTTTAAGAATTTCTGCTATTGCCGAAGTTACATTAAAATCAAATTGATTATTAGAATACTTTAAAGAAATTAATGAAGTGTTTTTATAAAAAGCTTTTACAAATATTTTTCCACCTTCGATACCGAATTGATTTTTTTGAAAATTCAAAGATATTAACGTATTATTTATACGAAGGGATTCAGCTAATACTTTTCCACACTCAAAACCAAGTTGATTATTAGCAATATTTAAAGATTTCAAAGTAGTGTTTTTACAAATAACTTTAGCCAATGCTATTCCACCTTCAGGGCCCAATTGATTATTTTGAAGATTTAAGAAAGTCAAAGTGGTATTTACACAAAGAGCTTCAGCTAATGCATTTCCTCCTTTAAACCCAAGTTGATTATTATAAAGATCTAAAGAAGTTATAGTAGTATTTCTATGAAGAACTTTTGCAAATGCTTTACCTCCTTCGACATCAATTTGATTTCTTTGAAGATTCAAAGATCTTAATGTATTGTTTATACAGAGAGCTTCCGCTAATGCTTTTCCCCCTTCAACACCAATTTGATTATTAGCAATATTCAAAGATAACAAGGTAGTATTTTTGCAAAGAATTTTAGCCATTGTTTGTCCACCTTCAGAACCCAATTGATTATTTTGAATATCTAAAGATGTTAAAGTAGTATTCTTAAGAAGGGATTCAACTAAAGATTTTCCACCTATAAAACCAAGTTGATTATTATAAAGATCCAAAGAAGTTATAGTGGTATTTTTGAGAAGAGTATCAGAGAAAATTTTTCCACCTTCAACGCCAAGTTGATTTTTTTGAAGATTTAAAAAAGTCAAAGTATTATTTATACAAAGAGCATCAGCCAATAATTTCCCACCTTCAAATCCAAGGTTATTATTCCATAAATATAAAGAGGTTAGAGTAGAATTTTTGCAAAGAGCTTCTGCTAATGCTTTTGCTTCGTTAATACCAATTTGACTATTATAAATACTTAAAGAAGTAATAGTAGAATTTCTTTTACATAGAACTTTGGATAATGAGAGAAAAACTTTTTCATTCATAATTCCATGAAGTTTTAAACCTTTAAGTACCTTACTTGAACGTAAAAACATAGCAATTAAAGAACATTTAATTGCTTGAATAGCATCAATAGAATTTCTAAATTTTTTGTTGCAAATAGAAAAATCATTTTCATCATTTCTAAGCCAATTTATGATTCCAGTTTTCAAACGATAACTATCAATAAAAGTGATATAAGAAGTATAATCAAATAAAGGTTTTGAATTATTTGGTAGTAAAATTTTAAAAGGAATTAAAAATTCTTGTTCTTCATTATTTAATGATAAAAGATAAATTTTTATAAGTCTTAAATCTTCAAAATAATTTAAAGGATTACTCCATAAAATTGGTATAGCATTTCTACACCATTGACGATTTACTAAAAGACAAGAAAATAAACTTTTAAAACTATTTTGAAGATTAATAAATATTTCAAAAATACATTCGTTAGGTAATGAAATCATTTTGGTAAAAAAAAATAGTTAATAACGATAGAGTTACGGATCGTCGTAGAATGTTCATATTTTTGCTTGTGTACCAGGTGTGAAAATTTTTGTACTCACCCCCAAATATTTATTTATATTTAATTTGGGGGTGAGGATAACGCATGACTCCCTGAATTACAATTACGTAACCATATTTGTGTTAAGGATGCATGTACTGTGTACATAAATGTAATTCTGATTAAAACTAAATGACATTTTTTTTTTAAATTAATATTAAGGGTACATATGTACGTACGCCTGAATAGAGCGAATTCATACTTAGTCGATGATTTGTAATAATTATACATTTTACATTTAATAATCATAGTGTTTACTTTATGTACTATAAATTTCAACGCTTTATAATATTGTTAAACTAATGGTTTTAAAAAAACATTTTTTTTTTGTTAAGTCGTTTTATCCTGAGTTTGCTATAAAAAGATTCATTATAAGGAAATTTGTGTATCAATATTAGTACAGTATACGTACGTATTTGGTATTATTTCACTGTTGATTCATCATAAGAGTTGTTACTATATATGGAATCGTCATTAATTAATTTTGGATTACTCTTGCTTTATACGGTTGTGTTATCTTTATGTAATCATTACCCTACATACATACGTACGTATGTACGTACAGACGTACGTACGCACGTACGCACTGATGTATTGAGGAGCGATAATTTTGTAATGTACATGTGTAAGCTAATAGTAATTGTTCTGTACATTTATTAGACCAATTACATTTTATCATAATAAATTAGATCATACCATTTGGGTCACGGTGCTTATACTCAACAAATCAGATTACTGAAAAAAACGTTGGGAATTTTATAGTCTTTTTTTTTTTTGGGATCATAATCCGATAGGGTTAATAAAAATACTATTTTAGATGAAGATGAATGTGTAATTAATTCCAATTGTGGCATCGGATATGAATGTTATAACAAAGTTGTCGTGTCCAACGGTCCAATGATTTTGTTGGACGTCCAAGATCCACTGACTTTGGACCCAATTGAATAAAACTTAAATTATGTAAACTATTAGTATTCGTTAAGATCAGACTTAAAAATAAAACATCAATTCTTCCACTTTTATAATTTTTATATACCTTTTTTTTAATTCTATAACTTTCACATATTCACTAACACTTTGAAGTGTTCGTACAATCACTTCGAGGTGCTTCTCACTCATCTTGCAGACACCTCATTCAATTCCTTGTATTCCTGATCTACCCTGCATCGCCTATGTACTACTTCAACCCTGACCGCCAATTCAACCTGATTTCATGACAAGAAAAACAATTATGCATTGTTATTGGTAGGGACCTAAAAAGGAGAATGCAGTATTTTTGGAAGCCTTTTTAGAACCCTATCAAGAATAGTACATTAACCCATAAGCAATGGTTTTTTAGGTTATAATATTAAAAAAAATTTTTTTTATAATTTTAATTATATAAAAAGACGGATTGCCAAGTCTGTATTAAAATTTTTTTATTATGAAAACGATGAATTATTTTCGTACTACTTAATATAAAAGAAAATAATAAAACATCTTGTTTACTGACTTTGTAAATTCTGGGTCGACTCCTAGAATCATATAATTCACTGTCATATGATATAGAATCATATCATTTGATATAGAATCATATCATTTGATATAGAATCATGCCATATTATCAATACAGCAATATACGTATGACACTTCATATAAGACAGTAATATGCAGATACGTATGACAAATCATACAAGTAAAACATGACATCATCGTCCAACACTGGGGGACGACTGTTGCATATAATTTTTATATCGTCCAACACTGGGGGACGACTGTTGCATATAATTTTTATAAATTCTGGGACACCCTATAAAAATTTGCCAAATTCGATAAGCTATTATTTATCTCGATGTTACACATATATAAATGCATAATACATATTTATTTGTTACTAAGATTTTTTCAAACCATATTCGTTTGAAAAGAGCTTAGAAGGCTTCAGTTAGAGTAATTGCTAAACATTTGGGTGTTAACAGGTCTACTGTGGGTCGAGTTCTCCAACAATTTCAAAAGTATGGCTGTGTTAATGAATTACCATCACTCTAAATAAACGTTATACATACTTTGAACTTTATTATAATTATTAAAACATTGTCGGCAAATATTAATAAAGTCTTGACCTCTGATTTCAACATGTGTTGCATTTTTTCGAACAGTTGACAACTTCCGATCGTATTTAACCTTTTTTTTTTTTTATTAGTGCCTATTCGTGTAATATGGAGTATTACGTATTTAAAAGGCAAATTTTCAATTTTTTTTTTGATTTTTATATAGATATATATATTCAATAAACAAGTTTGTTATACTATAAGTTACCAAAGATAATTATATAATAAAAAGATTCACAAAACGAACTAGAAGTAAAAAAATTTGTTTTTATTTATAGATCATTTAAATTCAAAACTGTTTATGTGTTCATTAAGAAAGTCCAGTGAAGACCTATTAATTGACAAGATCAGTTTTTGGCATAAATTCTTGTATCGTACATATTGGATAAAGCAAAAAAAAAATGGTAATAACGTTGAAAGAGTTGACATTGCGAATGTAATATAATATTGATCGAACAAATGTGCTGTAATAGTAACTCAATAATTTTTTATATACTGATCACGCACTAACCAACTCGAAAACAATAACTCATCGAATTCGGCCGAATAAACTTTGGCAAGATTTTTTAGAGTGTCCCAGAATTTATGAAACAGCTGTAATGGAATTTATTATGCTATTTATTTCTTTTTATATATTATGATACGTAAATGATATTATAGATTCTTTTCCTATAGGCAAATAAAGATATCAAGAACATTGCAAACTTCGCAAGAAACCTTACGACCTTGTCATGTATATATTTACAGTAGTAATAAACAAATTCAGAAAAATATTATATTCAGAATATTACAACATTATTTATTATATGTTAGAAACACCATGCCTACATATCTTTATAAACCTTACCAAGCATGAATTGTTTTTCATTATTATATAAATAAGGTAAATTTAACGCTTATAAATCCGATTATTACTGACATCGAGAATATAAACTCTTTATTTAATTTATGCAGAAATTTATAGCGTGAATTGTTCTTGCTAGTTAGCATATTTAACATAAGCAAAAAATTTATACCGAAAATTGTTCTTGTCAGTTAGCATATTTCACATAGGCAAATACATCGATATTGACCCATTTGAAACTTCGTAACCTACTAAAAAATCAGTACATCGTTATTGACTATTAAAAAAGATTGTCGCATTGCGACATAATGTTGTCATATAATATCACACGTGATTTAATCGTTTATTTCGTCTTAATTTTTTTTTTCTATTGAACCATGTAAACAACTTTTCTTATTCGACCCTTCATTATTGTCTAAGTGAATATTTTTTTCGAAACAAACTTTTACGAACTCTTGTTTTTAGAAAAGATTTTCAAATGCAACATCGTGTAGTAGCTTTATATGAAGATCATTACGGCGCGTTTGTAAAATACCCCAAAATTTGAAAACTTTGACTGCTAATACGTAAATAGTAATTAGTAATCTTGGCTAAGATAGTCAATGCTTCCCAGGGCACGTACTGAATCTGTGACAGGTTACGCCGATGATAGTCAATTAATTGACTGTCTATATCTCTAGTGTCAACTAAATTGACATATTAAAACTTTTAAAAAAAATTTGAGTTTACAAAAATTACGTATTTAAATTAATTTTTTTTTTGTACAATATATTCTTTTTCAATTTTTTTTTCTTTTTTCGCATTTCGTATTTAATTTTTTTTCTTTTTTCGTATTTGATATTTTTTTTCTTTCTTTTTTCGTATTTAATTTTTTTTCGTATTTAATTTTTTTTCTTTCTTTTTTTTGTATTTAATTTTTTTTTTGAATCATTCTCTTTTCGCATTTAAAATTTTTCAAATAATGTTGGACTTCAAAAATTCTTCGCAATATAGAATCTTCTCTATAATGAGAGTTTCCTATAACGAGAATAAGTTGTATTTATTTATTTTCATTGCTTTTTTTATATTTTATTATTTTTTGTATTTATTCTTTTTCATATTTAAAGTTTTTTTCGGGTTTAAATTAATTTTTTTGTCTTCAAATTAATTTTTGTACTTAAATTAACCTTCGAAAGTTTGATTGAATCTCTAAATTCTCAAAAAAATAAAAAATATTCGAACAACTTAAATATAGTATATGAAATCGATAACTGTGATTATTTAATACTTCACTATGATCAGTTTATAAAATAAATCAATTATTTTATGGTATTTTTAAATGATAAAATAAT